CCACCCCAGGGTGCACAGCCCCCACTGCCGGCAGCAGCAGCAGGTGGCAGGTGCTTGGGGAGCTCGTGGCCCATGCAGGCACTGCTGTCTGGCGGTGCACAGCTCCAGCCAGCACTGCCCTTGGTGGCAAGAAGCCACAGCCAGGCTGGCCCACCTGTATCACATGGGGCTCTCTGCGGTGCACATGCGGCTCCTCACGCTCCACCAGGGGAAGCTCCACATGATGGAGCCAGTTGCCTTCCCCACCTCCTGCCGTGCAGGTCCGGGGACTCTGCCCGGAAGCAGTGTGCTGGCTGGGCCAGGCCTTTCCATGCACAAGGGTGGGATCAAGGGGCACAGGCTAGGTGAGGTATCATTAGTTGGTGGGGTCTGTGGGCTGGAGGAAATTGCCTGGTGGGCTGCATCCAGCCCACAGGCCATATTTTGCCCACCCCTGGTCTAAATACTACTCACCAGAAACTCGCTTTCTTCCAAAGATGTAGTATCAATTAAGTCAATTAAACCTCTTTTTAAGAATAAACTCCTAGCCATGGCTTCTCCTGCTTGAGGAGGAACAGAGAAGAAAACTCATATGACACATTTCCATCCTTAGTTCTTTGACACTCAGGCCGCATCTAGATGTGCAGGCATGTGCATTTTGTGATGCCACAAATCTCTTTGCCGCACCACAAACAATGCATGTTGCATGTTTAACATGTTGCAGGTTAAACTGTGCCCAACACTGCGAATTTGCAGTGCTGGGGCAAAATTTGCTACCAGGATTTCCCAGGAGCAAAAAATAAACCCTAACAAGAAAGCAACGCAAAGCACATCAAAGTGCAGCGTGCTGGGACAAATGCAGAGATGGGGGAGAAACCAGTCTAGGGCTGCCTGCTCCCTTGTCTCTGCGTGCTGCAAAGCCCCTGTTCTGGGACACGCTGCGCCCCTGCCAGCCACTCCCCAGCTGGCTGGGGCACTGTGCCACCTCAAGACAGGGGAGCAGGCAGCGTGTCCCAGAGTGAGGGCTCTGCACGTGGAGCCTCCATCTCCAGGCATGCTGCACCCCGGCCAGCCACAGAGCAGCTGGAGCAGTGTGCCTTGAGGCAGAGAAGCAGATAGACAACCCAGGGAGCTCACCTGGCTGCTCCTCTGTCTCCACATGCCGCTCCTTGACTAGCTGCAGACCACATGAGCAGGGGCATGCACTGCAGCACAAAGTAGCGGCACAAATTTCTGTGTGTTTGTGCTGCTGCAAACACACGTCCCTGCTCATGTGGACGTGGCCTCAGATAGCATGGTAGTCGGTTAGAAGCTAAATGAAATAGCGGGATGGTGTGCTTCAAGGAAGAGATGCTTCACCAGGATGACTTTATTAACACGAAAGAGTCTACTCTCCCTTCATCCCCTTCCGGAGAGCTGAAACCCAAGGGTGCTGTGTCTTTTGTTAAAAGGAGGCATCAGTCATCGCTGCTTGTAGGTCATTGAGGCCTCTTATGTTGCACACTGGAGGCAGAACGCTTCAGCCCTCGGGAAACACCTTCCACAACTTCATGTGAAAATTCAGAACAGTGACTCTTGATGAAGTAGGACTGAGAGGAAATGTCCTCCACTCTAACGTACATGCTAACACAGGTAGGGGAAGCTGCACATCACCATGGCAGATGGTAGGCACTGATTAATGACAGGCCCTAGGAGTCAGTGAGTTGTCAGTGAGGTGCGACATTCACATCTTTTGGGAGAGGACAAAGCCATCCTGCCTGCCCTCAAGGCTCAAAGACGTGCAGAAGATCAAGAGTTACAGCCTCCATAGGTAGAAATTACAGTGGCAACAAGCATGTTAGAAAACAGGTTTTAAGGAGGTGCTTGAAGCCGCACAGAGAGGGTTCTTGGCACACAGGACAAGGGAGGCTGTTCAAGCAGACAGAGGGATGTAAGAGGCAAAGCATGGGATAGGAAGAGTGACAAAAGGAGAGTTTTATAGGCTTATAGGGAGCATATTTAACAGTAGGCCGTGACGCTTTCCCCAGCATTGAAAGCAAGTAGCACAACCTCAGAGAAACAGCCCATAAGCATATGGACCTCAGGGAAAGCAAACTGCAAACTGCTTCAGCTTCCAAGCACCAATCTGGAGCCTGATGAAATGGGACCTCGGAGGGTGCTGCTGTGGTATTTTTACTGCTAGACACTTGTCATCCTACATAACACTGAAGCATTCGGCAAAAATCCTTGGAAGTCAGTTCCATGGCACCATTAACAAATAGCAAACAGGCCACAGAGAATTTCCCAACTGGGCTGGGATGAAGTCCAGCTATTTTATATGCTGACCTGCCCTCACTACAGAGTAGTGCAGAGCGCTCCACAGAATATTAATGTGGAAAGAGGACAGTTCTTCTGCAAACTCTGGCTCTATCTTCACTGTCAAAAAATAAATTAAATTTTAAAAAGCCTGCAGGAGAGCTAGTCCAGGCTATGAGATCCTAATAGAGACCAGGCACCTCTTATTTTCATTTAGATGTGTCAGTCCAGGTCAGCCCCCCACCATTGTAAGGTTGAAAGCTGACCTCAATTTGCTACATCAAGACAAAATCGATCTGAGTGCTTTGTCTGCAGGGGACTGAGTTAGAAGCTCATCTCACTGCTCACAGGACAGGGCAGTGAAGACATGGCCTAAGCCTCAACCCTTCAACCAGGCTAGTGACCAGCACTACAGAGTGATTCTTCGTATATATTGACTAACATGCAAGAAAAGCCGCTTTCCTTTACAAGTCTCTCCCTAGGACCACCCCCTTCCAAGCCTGTTCTCTCCTCTAATGTGTGTGAATGATTGATTAGAGGCTCCATGTCGGTAATTATCAGGGTGGTAAGGACTTGGGCTCTTACCAATTGTGTGCAGCTGCAGTCCCTCTGGCCCCTCTATTGTTGCTCCCTCTACCACCAGCTTGATGACATCTGTATGAACCAGCTCATTCTGCAGGCAGAGGAGAGAGACTGGGGATTAATAACAGTTTTTGTGGAAACAATACTGTGACATCCCTCACTTGGAAATGGCATGATTGGGCAAGGAATTTTAAAAAGTTGTGCAGAAAGTTGTTTAATGTTTTATGCCAGCAACTGGCAGCTTGCTAGCTGACAGCTAATGAGAGCTAATGAGAGCTAACGAGAGCTCCCCCTCCCTTTCCCAGGAAACTGATACTTTCACACTCACCCGCTGTACGGGGTGCACACACCTGGCTTAGACACACTGGAGTCCTGGGTCAAAGTTTTTGAGGTTTGAACCCTATTATTTAGGCATCTATGTGGCCTGATTTGTTTTCAGAAGTCCTGGCCATGGGCTGGGCCAGATGGTTTTGGTATCGCTTGAACTCAGGCCCAAGGAATTTTAGATTGAATATTCAGGGGGGGAAAAGGGCACTCGAAATGAGCAGCTTTGGAGAACTTAGGCAACATGGGGAGGAGAGTGCTCACGTCATGACAATCAGCAGTTCACGCTTTACTTTCTGTAATCCAGGATAGGGGAGAAGAGAACTTCAGGCCCCTGCCACACGTTACATATATCACACAATTCAATCATTAATAGTGCAATAAATTTAGACTGGAAACACATGCCAAATATGACTGGCCACATGTGCAAAGTAATTACTATGCAATTAACTGGTTAATCGCACAATAGGTTTAGACACAGGCAAAGTAATGATCACACCATAGAAATGTCCATGCAGCTCTGAAAAGAGCCAAGCAGCTACAAATGTGTAACGACTCTATAGATGGTTTCTAGTCAGCTTTAATGTGAGCATGTGGCAGGTCCTTCGGTTGCTACTCATCCAACACTAGAGTCATGCTGTGGTGGTGAGCAAAGAGGAGGGGACACCTACCTTGGTCATTCCTGTCCTTTACAGTTTTCCTGTTATTATAAATGCAGCTTGCAGCCTAGCACTCAGTCTCCCAACTGCTGAGAATCAAGTGCCAGACAGACACAGCTGGGTGCTTGCGTCGCGGATGAATGCCGCATGTTATGATCTGCATTATCATAACTCCTTTCAGGCCTAGCCAGCAATCAGAAGTCCACTGGACTAGGCCCTGGACAAACCCCGAATAAGGAAGTGCAAGTCCCAAAGAGTGTACAATCTAAGCATGGGACAGGTGGCAGACAGACTGTGGAGGGGTTCAAGGAAATAGTGAATGGGTGCAAAGATCCTTTGTAAGCATATATTCAGGGATTAGAATATTTTTGCATAATAGGAGCTGGCAGGGAATGTGGGAATACCCTGGGGCGAGGGGAGGAGATAAAAGAACAAAGAATTAAAGACTAAATTAAGGAGCACCCTGGGTGAGGATTGGATGTTTTCAGGCAATTTTTAGATTTTTCAGTGGAGCAGCTTGAGAACAAAATGTAAATCTTCAGCTAGGTGATCCCGGCCTCAGTCAGTGCAGAGCACAGGCAGAGATGGCGGTTCTCCCACGCCAGGGGAGTCCTGTTGTAGTGAGGGTAGAAACGGCCTGATGATCATCTGTTCAGTACTGCAGTTCATGGGAGGTGTTGCAAAAGGAGGTGTAAGTCAGACTTGCTCCCAGCAGCTTCCTGACACCTTTGAGAGTTTTACACCTGCTTGGCCCACACCCTGAAGGGGAAGGTGGAGGATGCTGGTGCTGCTCACACCTGCCCACCAGAGCTGTTAGGACCCCTGCGACTTGCACATTTTTGCATGCTGCTGTCAGCGCTTCTCTCTTGCTAGGTGTGAATTAAAACCAGACAGACTCAGTGGCTGAAGTCCAAAGTGACGTGTAAGAAGCCATGAGCTATACAAGCTGCTAAGCAGCAAGAGCCTAAAGATGTGTCTTCAGCATGGTGGTAGCACATCCCTGCTAGGCAGGGCAGATTTGACCTGCTAGGACATTCCCCAACACGTCCCACCCGCCTACTCCCACACTCCGAACCCAGAGATCTCCTGTTGAGGCAGCCCCCAGGCTCCCTCAGCAGCAGCTCTCTGGCCAGAAACTGAGGTCCTGAGGATGAGCACAGAGGGGTTCCCAGGTTGGCCTCTCTGGCCCATTTCCAGGTTTGAAGATGTGCGTGGGAGCGTATGTGTGGGTGCACATGGGAAGGCCCCGGCCAGCTCATGCTGCCCTGGCAGTGCATCCCCTCTGCGTGTCTAGAGTCTGCACGGACCTGACATAAGCTTTGTAGGTGGAGGAAGCAGAAGACAAAACAACTTTTTAGCTGGTTACTTTGCCCCACCTCCAGCCTTCAGAGGGCTGCAGATAGCAGGCAAATTAACAGCAGCCTTTTTAAATGGACAGCTCAGATTGTTTTATTTGAAGACCACTCCTTTCTATACAGCCCTGTGCCCCTTGGCTAGATACAAAAGCAAGTGAAGCTTACACCGATCTCTCTCTGTCTCTCTCTCTCTCTCAATCTCAGTCTCTAAGTGAGGAAGCCTAGCAGCACCCAAAGATGGGGGGGTTTCATCTCCATCAAAGGGAAGCCTGAAATGGCCAAGTGTTAGTGTGGCAGATTGGTGGGAAAGAGAAATGCTACTGAGAGTCAATAAACATTTAAAAAAGGGAGAGGGGCTGCTTTAGGAACAGGTCTGCTGTGGCCAGAAGAGATGGAGCCAGGGGCTACATAAGCCCAAAGCAGGAGAGGAACTGGGCAGTCTGGCCTAGGCAGCCGACGGAGGAGGAGCTCCCGGAGGAGAGCTGTGAACGACAAGCCACTAACTGCAAACTGCAAACTTTGAGTAAGCCCAGAAGGGCTGGAGCTGGGATAGCCTGGAAGATACGGAGGGAGGCCTGGGGCAAAGGCATCTTGGTGGGAGCTGAACTGTTGGTTCAGGGAACTAATCTTTGAAAACTCATGGAGATTAGGGGAGGTCCTGAACGACTAGAAAAGGGTACATATAATAGTGCCTATATTTTTAAGAACGGGAAGAAGGAAGATCCAGGGAACTACAGACCAGCCAGCCTCACCTCAGTCCCCAGAAAACTCATGGAGCAGGTCCTCAAAGAATCCATTTCTAAGCACTTGGAGAAGGTGGTTAGGAACAGTCAGCATGGATTCACCAGAGGCAAGTCACGCCTGACCAACCTGATTGCCTTCTGTGATGAGATGACTGGCTCTGTGGATGCGGGGAAAGCAGTGGACTGATGTACTTTGACTTTAGCAAGGCTTTTGATGCAGTCTCCTACAGCATCAAAATAGGTTTAGACACAGACAAAGTAATGATCACGTGGGCAGTAGTAACCAGCAGCACACTTATAAGATGGGAAACTACCTTCTTGGGAGCACGGAGGCAGAAAGGGATCTGGGAGTCACTATTGACTCCAGGATGAATATGGGCTGACAACGCAAGGTCACGGTTGGCAGGGCTAACTGCACCTTGTCATGCATCCACAGATGCATCTCGAGCAGGTCCAGGGAGGTGATCCTCCCCCTCTGTGCGGCACTGGTTAGGCTGCAGCTGGAGTACTGCATCCAGGTCTGGGCACCGCACTTCAGGAGGGATGTGGACAACATGGAGAGGGTCCAGAGGAGGTCACCCGCATGATCTGGGGACAACAGGACAGACCCTACAGTGAGAGACTGTGGGGCCTGAACCTGTTCAGCCTCCACAAGAGAAGGCTGAGGGGGGACCTGGTGACTGTCTATAAACTCACGACAGGGGACCACAACCATTTGGGAGAGACCTTGTTTCCCCTCGTGCCCCTTGCATAACAAGGAATAATGGCCACAAGTTGTTGGAGAGGAGGTTTAGATTAGACATCCGCAAAAACGACTTCACGGTCAGGGCGGCTAGGATCTGGAACCAACTTCTAAGGGAAGTGGTGCTGGCTCCTACCCTGGGCGGCTTTAAGAGGAGGCTTGATGCCTACCTGGCTGGAGTCATCTGAGCCCAGTTTTTCTCCTGCCCAGGCAGGGGGTCAGACTTGAAGATCTACAAGGTCCCTTTGACCCCACTTCTATGATTCTATGATTCTTGCAAGCAAGCTGAGGAAGTAAAGGTTGGATGAATGGACTGTAAAGTGGATAGAAAACTGGCTGGACTGTCAGGCTCAACAGGTAGTAATCAATGGTTCAATGCCTAGCTGGCAGCTGGTTTCAAGTGGAGGGCCCCAGGGGTCAGCCCTGAGGCTGTTCTTGTTCAATATCTTCATCAACGACCTGGAAGATGGGATGTGGCGCACCCTCAGCACGTTCGCAGATGACACCAAGCTGACGGGAGTAGCAGATACTCCCTGGAGGGCAGGGCTAGGATTCAGAATGACTTCGACAAACTGGAGGATTGGGCCATAAGAAATCTCATGAGGTTCAATAAGGACAAGTGCAAAGTCCTGCACTTAGGACAGAACCAGTGGTGACACGTAGAGGGTGCATGTGCACCCCTGTGAGCACTGGTGCACCCCCTGACAAGGCCACACTTCCCGCTTAGGCAATGGGTGGGGGGGCAGGCAGGAGCACTGGTGCCCTCACTGTGAGTGCCGGCCAGGGAGTGGGAGTGCCAGATGTAGCACCGTGGCCACTTCTTCCAGGAGCCACTTCTTCCCGTTTGGTGAGTTTTGCTGTGGGGGGACTCCCCCCCCAAGTCGGTGAGATTGGCTGCGGGGGGATCCCCCCCAGTCGCTGACTGGTCACTGGGGCCCCCCTGACTAAGATGGCACCAGTCGCCCATGGACAGCTCAATCCCATGCACCAGTACAGAATGGGGGTGGCTGGCTGGGCAGCAGCTCTGCAGAAAAGGACCTGAGGGTGACAGTGGGCAAGAAGCTGAACAGGAGTCAGCAGTGTGCCCTTGCTGCCAAGAAAGTTAATGGCATCCTGGGCTGCATTGGTGGGAGTGGTGCCAGCAGATCGAGGGCAGTGATTCTTCCCCTTTATTGAATAGCAGCCTTCAACTCCCTGCAGGGGGGTTGCAAAGAGGATGGAGCTGGACTGTTCTCCATGGTGAAGATGACAGAACAAGGAGCAACAGGGTCAAGCTGCAGCAAGGGAAGTTGAGGTTGAGGAAGAACTTGCTCACGAGGAAGGTAGTAAAGCACTGGGACAGGCTCCCCAGAGCAGTGGTGGAGTCTCCATCCTTGGAGGTTTTGAAGACCCGGGTAGACAAAGCCTGGGCTGGACTGATGTAGTTGGGGCTGGTCCTGCTTGGAGCAGAGGTTGGACTAGATGTGACCCCTGAGGTCCCTTCCCACCCACATTTCTATGATTCTATGAACTGCATTTTGCTTATTTTTGGGCAAAGTATACCCCTGATGGCAGAAGCCTGGCTGCGAGGCACGGGACAGCTGGATGGGAGGCTGCTGGAAAACACTGTTGCGTGAGTGCTACACTTGTAAATTGGTCTGAATTAATGAGCCTTGGGGAAGTGACTGGGGGCAGCAGCTCCTGTGGACTAAACTGGGCTTACAAGCCCATAGGGACTAATTTGAGGCTAACAAGGCCTCTGGGACTGGTAAAGTCTCTGGGACAGAAAGCGATCACGAGGCAAATAGGTCAGTGAGGCAATGGCTAATGAGAAGTGGCTGAGGAGTTTGCACTGACTGGGCCAGAACTGGCAAAGCCCAGTGATGAGAGTTGTGGAGAAAGGCACCTGAGGGGTCTCGGTGGTAGAACTGATGGCTGACGCGATTAACATTTAACAACAGGAGGTGGCAGGTGAACCAAGGAGACCATAGGGGTGCTGGTGTGGAAAGGAGGCCAGGCAGTGACAGACAGCACCTTAGACACCAAGCAGATCAACCGATGAACTTCTTCTGGAGCTGTATTCTCCAGGGAAAAGCTGGCTGAGTTGACCAGAGGGTTTAAGCTTTGTGTCTCCCTTCCTGAGAAGCCTCCCAGTGATCATTTCCTTGGAGGAGGAGAAATGGAAAGGCCTTGTTCTGCCCTGTTTGTGTCTGGCTCTCATATTAACCATGGGGGTCCTGTGCAGAGAACCAGGCTCTTCTGCTGCAGTGTTGGCCATCCCAGACTCATTACAACTAGTCAGATGCACACACTGCTGATGGGACACTAGCATCAATTTGGAAGAATCCCCACAACATAACATTTACCTTAACTAAAGTCCAGGACACAATCCTCCCGTCGGATGAGATGGAGAAGAAGTTCAAATTATTGTCCATGTCCTCCTTCTGCCACTTGACCTTAAAAACAAACACACAGAGTTAGCACGGCAGCACTTCAGGCAGGAGAACTACTGAGCCCTTGGTAGGAGCAGTGTCTCCACTGAACAAGTCTCCTTCCCCCGGGAGCCCTTGGTATTCTGCAGTAACGCACCAGCACTCCCTCTTGCCAGTGTCGGGGACCCACAGAGGTAAGAGCAAGAAAAAGAAGGGCCGACATGATGCTGATGCCCCTGTCACTCGCCTGCTCTGTGCCATATGTTGCAAAGCCAGCCCAGATGCTATGGTCTGATCCATGCAAACAAATCCCTGCACACCCATGAAGCCCCACTGACAGTAGTGGGATGTTTACAACCACATGAAATCCAGCAGCTAGAGGGGCCCTCCTGTACACTTCAAATTGCAGGATCAGGGCATAAAGGGTTTGCAAAGAAAGCTCTGCACCAACAAGTTCAAACAGGCCTGTAAATCATGAGCTCAAAGGGTGGTCCGAGCCTCCCACAGTGCGTAACAGCGACACACAAAACTCGGGCAAGGCAGTCAAAGCCCAAGAGCCTTCAGAGATTCATCATACTTGTGGCATTCCCCTCCCCTGGCAGGACAGGCCACTCAGCTTGGAGATGACGCCCCTTTTCCTTTCTCCAAAGCTGACTTTTGGCCAAAATAAGGTGCTGGGTCCTGGCAAACCTTGTACACACCACCTTCCCACATGTTCTGCACAAGGCAGGGGAAGGCACTTTGCCTTGGAGCTATGCACTCTCAGCAATGGCTTTCAGCAGCTGTGCAGTGTGGAGAGGTTCCTCTGCACTGCATTCAGGTCCCACCGCGTCAATCCCAGTAGCCTTACTAGGCAGGGGTTAGTTGTTGCATGCGAGAGAAGAGCAGCTACCCCGACCACTTGCTAGAGACCCTCAGAGGAATAGCCTGTTCCTCACTTGAATGCAGCTATGCCAGCTTGCACCGTGACCAGCACTCCAGGGCTGTCTCCAGTCTGATGGAGGCCTGGTAACCCAGGTGCTGGCTGGCTCTCTTGGTGCAATCTCTAGTGGAGGGGTGCCCTCACTCTCACAATCGATCCCCACTTCAGGAGCCATGAGCCTGGAGACCCCCTCCGCATCACGGTAGGGGAGGAGTTGGCAGAGGCAATGGCTGGGAAGCTCATGCAGCCGTCCTCACTGTACCTTGCAGCTGTTGGCTTGGCTTCCTTTGCAAACATTAAATTAATCCATTTAAGGATTAAACATCCTTAAATATTCTGCAGGGGACTCAGACATCATTGCCTGAGTAAACTGCTCTTTATCACATGTATCTAGGTCCCAGAGTAGTCCACGAGTAGGACAGGCCCCATGTGAGGTCTCTACTGAAGCAGGTTTACCACTGAGGGGTGTCACCCCTCCGCAAAGGGCAGCAGAGGGGCTGGACCTAACGGGCTGCGCCAGGGATGGAACTTCTCTTGTTAACATGTAAATCCTCCTCCACGGTTTCGAGTCTCGGCAGCATAAGAGGATTTGCCTTTTCAATGTGACCGTGCAGGGAGAGAGATCAGAACGTGGATAAACGATCTGGGGTTTGTCGGAGAAACTGCAGCTGGACTGAAAGTGCCAAGATTGCTCTGATTTCCCAAACTAGAAATTCAATGAGAGTGAGGAGTAAAAGATGACCTGCCACCACATCTACCCACTCCCACTTCCACAGGCATCCATCAGCTGAGCACAGGCACTATGACTTACAAAGCCTGCCCTTGTGATGTCCAAGGTGTATTTGTCTCTGTCCAGATACAACAGTCAATGTATTTCTCTAACCGTCACATGTTATAAATGAATCTGATTATCACAGAGGTTACCAAATCCTTCATTTAGGACAATCTAGATGGTATTGTCAAAAGGAAAAAAAAGAAGCAGTTCTCAATACTATCATTAGAGGTATTGGGTTTGCTGGTACTGCTCTCATGGGGGAAAAAATCATTGATCCTATTAAAAAAAATTGTGTGTACGATGAAGTCTTATGGAGCATGAAAATGGAGTGAGGGACTTGCTGAAGAAACATCGATGCTGTCATGAAAAGGTTTCTACCTAGAACATGCTGTTCTGAGGAAGGAAAAAGAAAAGTGGAGGAACTCCACATTAGCATCTGTTGATATGCTACCAATCTGGCTGAGATATGACTGAAAACGAACTGATCGGGTGGCATATGGCTTATGATTCCCTTGATCAGGACGGCTATGAATGGTAGGTCATGGGCAGCAGGTATCAGCAATGCTCCCCGCTGCTTCACACAAAAGGAAGTGCGCAATGCAAGACGCCAACAAGAAGAAAGGGCCAGTGACAGTCGGGTAACTTTGTTCCAGTGGTGCATGGACACCATTTTCACAAGGCTAGGAAACAGGCACCGGCATTGCTGAGAATGGCTGCTCCAAGACCATCAACCTGTGATGCTGATCTCTTGCTGCCAATGGCTGGCACTGCTGGGTACTCCCTGGGAACCCTTGACCCAACACTGAAAAAGCTTTAGGTGCTAGTGAAGTGGTGCGGACCAGTTCTTGGTAGGCAGAAATTGTGACGGAGAGTGTCCCAGCAGCCTCTCTCACCCTCTGTAGCACCTGCCTCACCCGTGCCAACAGGTAGGCTGTTTCCAGAAGGAAGGAGATGCTATGGGAATGTGTTAGCAAACGCCTCTAAGAATTTGGCCCTTGGTAATGAAGGGGTCCCTAAACTTATTTGGAATCACAGGCTTTTTCTCCCCTGCCCAAAGCATTAGGAAAACTCTCCCTTAGCTCAGACACATCCTCTTCAACCCATCTCCTCAAGCACATGTGATAAACAGGTAAGCCTTGTAGCATGTCCTCAAGGCAAACTGACTCAGGCTAAAGTAGGAGAAGCAAATTCCCGTGTTGCTGCCTTTTCATGGGAAGTACCTGTCACCACAATTGGGCTGTTTAAACCTGAGAGTCGTAAGCTCAAGTGCTCTGCTGGACCAAATACACCGAGACGTGGCTTCTAAGGGAGCAAGGGCATGAACCATTTCGGACGCAGAACAAAGCGATCTGAACGGTGTGTGGAAGCGAGCTGCAGGGCACAGAGCACAGACGTCAGGCGCTCCTCGCGAGAGGCATCACAAGGCATGACGGCAGCTGCACGGTGCATTTGCAGACGTGTCAGGGAGTCTTCAGGGTTAGCCTCGAGCAGCGCACATGTTAGCAATCCCATCTGGAGGCGATCAGCAGATGGAGAGCTGTGGCGCAGCCCACATCTGAGAAGGTCATGATTGTCCTTTGTCTTCCACAGCCTGGGACACTGCCCTAAGCTAGAGAATGTCTCACCCGCCCTGCACTTCGCACACTCTGCATCCACAGAAGCAGCTCTCCCTCTTGGGTCAGAGCATGCAAGTCAAGGCCAACGGTGTCTGCACATAAACGAATGCCGGCGCCCCCCATGGAAGTTAGCTAGAATTCCAGAGCTCTGAACAGGCACCAGCTCTTTCAGACTTCCTTCACACATCAACCCCTCCACAACGTTGCTGGCTTGTGGGTTTTCTTCTCTGTTCTCTGAGTGCTGCGAGCATTCATTAGTTCAATGTATAGCCTCCCACTATACATGAACAGCCTTGTATGTCTGTTCAGCACAGACTCTTGTTCCCCCACCGACGTTCTGCGCGTGCGGAACAAACCTCCCTTCATTATCTGCTTCCATGCTGGGTGTGCCCTGACAATACAGTTTTTTCTGCACACTGGGCATTTTTTGTGTGTGTGCTGGGAAGCTAATTTTGTTAGTTAAGCATGGGACAATGATCTCAGCAATTTAGCAGCAGGATAATACACACAAGTCTTGCTTACCGCACATTAAATGAAAAAATGCATCTGAAGTGTTTATAAAATTATTTACAACCAAATGAGAAGTTTTGCATCTAGGGACACTTTAAAAAATCAAGTATTGTGTGTATTGCAAGCATGTCTAGGAGCCCTGGGTATGGAGGAGGGATCCACTGTCCAAACTCAGTACAAATTTCATCAAGGCATTACTGCTTTTTTTCCTTATTTATGTATGCCAGGGTGCTTCTCCCTCCAGTGGAAAATACTGACTGGCTGCAGACAGAAAGAAGAAATAGGGAGAAAATATGCACTTGGCCTCTCCAGACTCTTCTCCTTGTAAAATCATTTTTGAAGTCTATTGATATATTTTGTCTTTATTTACTATTAGTTCAATTTTCCACCAAATTTAAATTTAGTAAAAGTGAAGGGATTTTTCCCCATGCTTGCCAGTAGAACATGCTTCAGGACTTAGCTTTAAGTTTCACACCAGGGGTGGGCAATTATTTTGGGCGGAGGGCCGCTTACTGAGTGTTGGCAAGCCATCAAGGGCCACATGACAGGCAGCCAGGGGCAGATAAATATTAATGTTCTGAATTTTTTAGGGGCCCCGTGGGCCGGATAAAATGGCCTGGCAGGCCGCATCCTGCCTGCGGTCTGCATTTTGCCCAGCCTTTTTACACAAACAGCCTGTCAGTTTTGTGTTTTTAAAAAGTGATGATACTTTCTCCTGCAGCGTTTTCAAGCCCAAGTTGCAGTCCTGGGCCAGCACATGAGAAACTGAATGTCAGATTGACTAGAATCAGACAAACAAAACCAACCAGACAACCCAGAGACATGCAGAGTACATAAGGAGAAGAACAGAAAAAAAGAAATGAGATGTCATTCCAGATGTGAATCCAAATGCAATAACAAGCAAGGACATTTGCTTTTCCAGGTAATGGGTATTTTAACTTCATCTTTTAACTCAGTGCAAAATTAGCCTGCGGAATTCATTGCTACCAGATAGCCAAGGCTAGAGTTTAGCAAAATTCAAAGACTTGATGACTATTTGTACAGATAATGGGAATGCCTGCAGCTAGACTAGCTGGATTAAAAGGAAAACAAGGAATCCAAATCTTAAAGTCACAGGCTGGCTATAGACGTGCTCGTTCACTTTAACTACACCTTGTTGAATGAGCTTTATGTAAAGTGTCCTGCAGCCATTCTGAAACAT